TAGCTATTTGTAAAAATAATCTATTGGCTACAAAATGTCTTTTGAAATATTCTAATAGTAATATACATGACAAAAAGAATCGTACAGGTGATAATCTTATTCATCTTGCGGTTCGTCATGGAAATTTAGAAATGGTTAAATATTTAATTGAAGAAGGTAAATTAATTAAACAAGGTAATCAATTTAATTCAACAACAACACCAAGTGAATTAGCTCGATCACTTAAACATGATGATATAATGAAATATTTAAATGAAACATATCCTCAAGAAGATATTGATGAAGATGATGATACTGACTCAGATGATGATTAAACTAATGTTTTTATTTTAAATATCTTGAAAAAAAAACTCTTCTTTATTAAATTCTGATAAAGTAAAATGAATTTTTTATCAATATGATAAGAAATATTACAATTTAAAATCAAATCTAAGTTAGGTATTCTGTTATATTTTTATGCTTTAAATCATGTTGACTTTTATATAAGAAAGAAAAAAAATATTGCATGTACTTTATAATTCCGATGTTTTAATTAGTTTGTGTGTGTGTTACATGTTCATTTTATATGGTTAAATAATAATGATATTTAGAATGAAACGAAACACTAAAATTATTTATATCTAAAATAAAGATGAAATAAGTGATTTTTATCTAAATTTTAGTGGAAAAAGTTATTCTTGATGATAGAATGGAATAAGAAATTATGAAATAGAGATAATATTATTCTCTCAAATAATACATAAGGATAAATATGCATGAAACTTCAAAATCATAGTTGTGCTAATTACATTAAATATTAACAATGAAAAATGATTGTATTCTCATTGAATGGTGAGTATTTAGAATAGAATAGAATTGTACTTCGTGATCAAAAAGAGAATTCGAATTAAAACCAAATGACTTATTCGACTGTTAAAATAACTCAATATTTGTTATATTTTTTGTTTATAAATTCTGTCAACAATCGTCCCATACTTTTATGATGATACAATATCATTTCATTTGAATCAGCATATACCAATTTGAAGTTTTCAAACAGTGATACTATAAAGTACAAATAAAAAGATAATGAATACTATATATTATTTGTCTTCTCCAATTTAAGTTTCTATATATAGGTTATTTTTGTGATGACTAGTGTACTTCTCATGATTTGGCGACACGAATATACACTACTGGCTAAAAGTATCTCCTCCCTCGGATCTTAGGTCCTATGATAGCTAAATGTCTGAAAATCTGTACATGGGTAGTACACAAATAATGTAGATTAGTGGTAACCTCAGGACTAAAATTGCTCAAGCAAGAATAAAGTTATAACAAGTGGCGTCCACGATCATTGTGAATCTCATAACTCAAGAAAAGAAGAGCCTTCTGAGTCGCGCAATACCTTATTTTGAAGGCCTACATTACAACTACTTCTCCTGCAAATTTTATCGAATTTCATCAAGCTATTGATAAATTTATGTCGTTTTTACTGAAAACATGCATACACCAAAAAACAGTATAGTACCATTGAGTGGTCAATAACTTAGCAGTAGTTTGATAAATCAATCTGAAATTTTCAGGAAATGTTCTACTATAGCAGATAATGGTATTCTGAAAGTTTTAGAAGCAAACGCTTTTCTGAACGAAAATGGTTCATCAATGATCATTGAGAACTTGTCAGTACTCTGAAGTCTTCATACCTGAAGT